GGAACTGTATCGCCGGGGCGAAGGATAGAGAGAGGGACGGCTTCGAGCGCGGAAGGTAGTATTTCAACTGAATCAGAGGAGGTCTCAGTGTCTGAAAAGAAAACCAAAAGAAAAACAAAGAGAACAAATATAAAAAAGAAGCTGTCGCAAGGAAGAAAGAGGGGAGAAGAAAGATTAGGGTTTTACGGGAGAGCAACCCAAAAACCAGGAGGAGAATTAGGAAAGTAAAGGGGCGGAAATTTCAAAAATTTTCAAAGGAGAGACAAAATCCTCAACATTCAATAGACAAACAAGAGTATCCCAAGCGCAAATTCAACACAAGACAAGCCAATTTGGAGCAATTCAGCAGGCAGATCGAGAACACCCAATATTGAAAATCCAAGAATATACAAAATAGAACTATGAAGAATATAAATTCAAATGTAAAGAGACTTACTCATAACCGTGGATGGATAATTGATGGAAGTTTGAAGGGGCGTGTTGTTATGTGATTTCTAACAACGATGTAACACGTACTTAAGATGAGAATTATGAATGATTTGGACGTAAAGCATGTAGAGTAACTTCAACGATGGCCCCGGTCCGAGGTGAACCGAGGTGAAGAGCCGTGATGGGCTTTTTCGTGTTGCATAATGAAGTTTTTTCAGTTCGGAGAGAGATCCCCGTACAAATGTCATGGGTTCACTATTTATAGTAATTTTTTGGTAGATACATTGGGATCTGTGTACTACTTTTTGAATAAAGTAGCTTTTTGTGGGCGGTTTAGAGCAGTAAATCCCACATAAATGATGACGGATCTTGTGGAGCGTGATGGTTGTGCGTAGGCGTCTTGTCACCTGCTTAAGGAGGTGGCGATCTCGGTTTATGTAGACCTCGGTGGATGCTGACCGACCTCGGTAGATGCTGACCACTTCGGTCTTCGGTAGTTCGGTCCGGTTCATCGCCTGGACCGGGGTGGTGTTAAAATCACGTCGGTTCAATGGTCATCTTCCTCTTAATGTGATGTTTGGGATCTCTTAATGGTGTTTTACCGAATCGGATGATAACAACATTTTTCTAAAAATCATGAGTTCGATACCAATTTGGCTCAATGACGAAGTAATCCCAGCAAAACATTCAATCATGCTAGCCGTAAGTTCTGGAGAAAAATTCATTAAACCGGAAGCAAGAACGTTCCAACCTGTCAACCTCGACGATGTTGGACTTAACCGATATGAAACTCTAGTGGAAAAAACAATGGAGTTTAACTCGGACGATAAAGTGTTTGTGAATTACCAAGATAAAAATTACTTGGTATATTCAAAATCACCAAAAATCATGAGTAGTGAAGATGAGATCAGGATTATCACCTTCCAAAAAGGTTTACTTCAAGAATTTCATCATCCAAAGATCTGTAAAAAGATTAGGAAACATAAGGAAGCACGTGGTAGCATCTACACCTGTCCAAATGAAAGTTGTCAAGCAACAATTACGGTGGAGCCAATCACTTTAAAAAAGATGACTGAAGAAAAAGATTCCCAGACAGGGTCAATATCATCCAACTCATCAACCATGTGAGAGAGGTCAGCTAAGCAACATTATTGGCTCAAGGCCATGTGAGAAAGTGGAGGCCAACTAATGGCATAGGTCAGTAGTGACGATAAACACTTGTATCGATCCTCATTCCTTAGTCTATAAAAGGATGAGTTACATTTTGAATAAGGGACATCAGAAAATTAGTCCAGAGTCTAGCCTGAAGTTCTTTCTGTATAATTTTCTTTCTTCTATATCTATGTGTGAGTAGTGAAAGGTTCCTTCTGAGGAACTTGAGATTGTAATCATGGGATTTGAATGAATAATTAATATTCATATCAGGACTCTTGTAAAATGTTTGGAGTTTGAATAAAATATCCAGTTTGATTGAAATTGTGCTAAAGATCTTATCCTAGAGGCCGATTTGCTAATCAGAGGGAATAGTACCAAAAGGGAAAACAATATCTGTGGCGCAGGCTTGGAGTCGATCATCCAGACACAAAGATTCAAAATCAAACACAGAGGTAAACATTTATTCAAACTATAAAACATTTTATAAGAAGTTCCTTTGAATATAGTGATTATGTCTTAAATAGCTCTCTGAGAAGCAGTCTAAAGTTTCTAGGAAAGGAATTTTAATTTATAAAGGAATTTCAAGAATCATTGAAAAAAGGTTTTCAAAACCATAAATTAGATTAAATCTTTTGATAAAACAATTTCTCTGAATAAGAAATTATGAATTTTTTTACAATGGTATGATTTTTGGCATTTGCCAATGAAAATGCTTTATAAAGAACGAAACGCTTTGAGATATCAGCGTAAACAATTAAGAAATCTTCATACTTTGTTAGAAGTTTATCAACGAAGACTTGAAGCCTTACAACTTGAGAAAGAACTCGAGTATAACAGGGCATTACCTGAGGGTAAAATGAGTATCCTAAAATCTTATGGTTTCAGACTAAATGGTCTATATGGCTTAGTTACTTCTACCAAGAAGTCAGTTAAGAAAGCAGAAAAACAAGCATCTCTTTTGGGAGCTGCCTAAATTCATTGATTTATTGAGTGTTAAAACTCTAACTTGCTATGGAAAACAATAATTTATGGCATATGCCAGTAAGAGTAGTGTTTTCAGATATAAATTGTCTTAGAACACTAAGAAAACAAATAATTCGGTTAACATCTGATTTAAATGAAGAAGAACAAAGATTGAATGATTATATTCAAACTTATATTTCTGCACCTATAGAAATAAAACTAGCAACTACAAGAAGCTATGTTGATAATGTCAATAGAATGGTCTCGGTCATTCTCGCATTAAAAGAGTCTATTAAGAAGGCACAGCAGCAGAGCTCACTTCTTATGAATTGAAATGGATTGTTTTGATATCATGTATAAATTCCGTACGGGAATCAGCCTGTTTAAAAATCTTGGTATCAGAGCCTGGTATCAAAGAAAAAACCTGTTTGGAATATGAGTTCCAATACAGATAATGAAAACAAGAATATAGAACAAGATCTATGTTCTAATAGTGATCTTTCACAAATTTCATTTAATGAAAATGAAAAAGGTTTTAAAGCCAGTTTGACAATAAAACATGATGTATTAACTAAGATTCAAAAATCAAAGTTAAATCTTAAAAAAGAAGAAGTCTTTAACATTCCAATGTTAAATTTCTTAAAAAGAAAAAACGAAATTTTATATTTTGTTAACACGCAAGAATTGCATGTAGACATAAGAGATGTTAAAGGAACCGTAGAGAAATAAACCTAGAGAAAATTCCATCTCTTATAAGAAGTAAAATTTCAACAATTCATCTAGGAGCAATAAAAATTTTGCTTAAAGCTGAATTTCAAGAAGGGATTGATACTCCTATAAAAATGGCATTAATCGATGATAGAATTAATGACAGAAAAGACTGTATCTTAGGAGCAACAAGGGGAAACCTTGCTTATGGTAAGTTTATTTTCACAGTTTATCCTAAATTTGGCATGTCTATTCAAACTGCAAACTTAGATAGAACATTATCTTTCATTCATCACTTTGAAAGAGAAAATCTAATGAACCCTGGAGATAAAGTCTTTAGTGTTACATATGTTATAAGCTATGCTTTGAGTAATAGTCACCATAGTATAGATTATAGGAAAAAAATCTTATATTGAACTAGAAGATATCTTTTCAGATATAGGTTCAGTATAAGAAAAAACCTTCTGTGAATTAGCACCTCTAAAAGAACACTGGGCTATTGATATAGCTAAAGGAAAAACTGTGATAGAAAATAAAAATATGCAGATTAAAGAAAATTCTTTGATTATTGGAGAATCAAGTAGATTATCAGTTTCAGAGAAACGTTCTCTAGCTGATATGTCAGATAGAATAGATAATTTATCCGGTATGTTAAGACAATTAACTTCAGGATAAAAAATCATATCAGATAACGTAACTACATTTGTTATAATATAACAAACACGAAAGAACATTCGTTATTTAAAACAAGGGTGTTTTTGACATTCTATTTGTAATATTTTATACAAAAAAGCAAAAAGAAAATATGGGGTCATTTAAACAAAAAAGACCTTTCTTTGACTAGGTCATTTAAATGAAGAGCCCGGTTTTTTAGCCCCGGGTTGTAATATTTTTTGAACAATAATATCTATGGTTTCGAAAAAAAAAAAAAGAAAAAATAATTATTAATATCTGGGAAAGTGAAACTTAAAAAAGCCTTCAACCAATGCTGCATTTTTCGTCGCCAAATCTCGGACTCAGTTATCAAGAACCAGTGTTGAGGTAGAAAGGCATCGACCTCGATTCATCAAGCTTCTTCATTTTATTGTAGGTCTGAGTCTCTCTCTCTCTCTCTCTCTCTCTCTCTCTCTCTCTCTCTCTCTCTCTCTCTGTTTCCAAAATTGTTTTAATCAATCGATTCATTCTTCGTTTTAATCTCAGCATCGGCTGTCGTAGCACGGGTTTTACTGCATTATACGCGAAGACTTATATTGGCATTAGATGTTTGTCTTCAGTGATTAGTGCCGAAATTCTTTTTCTAATGGAAGTTGGAATGTGTTCTGTTTCCGAGCTAAATTCCATTCGATCTGTATATACATTAGAAAGCTCTGATCTTGCACGAGATTTCTGAAATTTGTGACCTGTATTCTGCTTAGGAGCATAATTTTGGCTAAGCCCATGTCGTAGAATAACATGCTCAGGCTATTAGTTGATCTATGGGAAAAAATACAACAAATTTTCTGTATCACGATTAGATTGTTAATTTGACATCCATCCTCGCATTTGCTTTTCTACGTTGATTTTGATTTTAGAGCTTTTATGGGTTAACGCCTTATGAATTTTCCGATCCTGCCGATGCTCACAACTTTGACATAATAATAAACTAAGCATTCATGCTGCTAAGCTAAATTCTTTTTTCCACATAGCAGATTTAGCTTGGTTCAAATACTGGTGCAATTAGTCGTTTAAGCCAACCTGATCGTATTATGGAGGAAGAAAAGAAGAAGAAAAAAAACAAGAAGAAGAAGAATAAGCAAGCTACTAAGCCGACAGAAAGTGTCACACTTGATGCTAGCAAATCGACTTCCGACGGCCAAAGCCATGTTATTGAGGTGGAACAAAATAGTAACTATGAAGTATCAGGAGTTAAAGGTTCGTCAAAAGAAGCTCAACGGTGTAGAGATGTTGACAGCGGTTTGAATCATGCCAATGGCAGTAAAGAAGTAAGTTGCTATTGTTCTTTGTGTATATGTGTGCCACTGCCCATGACATTCTTGAGAAAGTATTCACAGTGTCACATTCTTTTTCTTAGTTTTAATTACCTGAACTTTTGCGGGACTTTCCTGTTCATTCCCAGGCAAATTTACCCAAGTCTGAGAAGCAGTATTGGCTGGGCAGAGAGGTAAGGACAAAGTTGATCTATCTGATGTCATTATCATTTTATCTTTCCATTTCTTATTTCGAACATTGTCTAGGCAAAGGGTTATGCAGGCTAGTTTTCCAGAAAAAGTTGATCCATCTGATGTGTTGATTCACATTTTATCATACCATTTCTTATTTCTATTATTGTTTGAGGAGAAAGAACTAATCCGAGGGTTATACAGGCTAGTTTTCTTGAAAAAGTTAAAGAACTTGAAGCTGAAAAGGATGCCTTAATACAGAAAGAGGTGAAATTCCTCAAAATTGGGTTTTCTTTGTTATTTCTTCTCTTTTTTTTTTTCGAACTCGCCGTGTTAAAAGTAAATTTTGCTATGTTCTTTCTGCATATGTGCTTTCTGTTTGTGCCTTTGTGGATTTGTATATTTAATTCAGGTAGATTTTCATGTGCTTTATAGGGTTCCCTGGAAGAGAGAATCAATCAGTTGTTGCAGGAAAAGGCTGAAATTGCACAAAAAGAGGTAGCGGTTTGATTAACTGTGGAGAGCTTATCTAATCATTCAGTTATACTATCCCTAATGTATAAAATCACACTCGGTTTTCTTTCCTTAAAGATCAGATTTCTTGACAGTTTATATTTCACAGGCTAGTGAAAGAGAAAAGGTCAAACATTTATGTAATGAGAAGAATGCATCCATACAGAATGAGGTATTGAAATTTTCACCTTTTTTTCTAAAAAGAAAAAGAATCTTGTTTTTCTCTTCCTCGCTGTGGGGTTATGTGTTGGTGATACGGAACATATTCTATGTGAATAAAATGTTCATTTGCAGGCTCTGCTGGAGGAGAGAATCAAGCAGTTGCAGAAGGAAATGGATGAAAATGCACAGAAACAGGTAGCAGTTAATTTGTCGGTGCCGGTGGATGCCTTTAATATGTATACGGTAAGTGAATGACTTGTCTATTTTATGGTATTATACTATTATTACATTCATTTCTCTTTCACTGCAGGCCAGTGAAAGAGAAAATATCAAGCAATTACATGATGAAAAGAATGCATCCATGCGTAATGAGGTAGTTTCGACTTTCGAGATAAACTGACCTAAACTGTCAGTTGGAAATATGTTATTTAAGACACATGTGAAGTTGTAAACAATGTTGGCTTGTACAGGCTGGCCTAAAGGAGAGACTTGCGCAGTTGGAAAGCGAAAAGGACGTTTGGAGCTGCGATAAGGTAATATATATTTGTGATAATAAAAAGGATAGGATCAATATTTTGAATACTTTAACCCCGCAGTTTCCAGTTAATAATTTTCCTTCAGCTGATATTCTCTTGATTTGTAGAGTATTCTGGAGCAGAATATTCTACAGTTACAGAGGGAGGTGGAAGTTTACCGGCAGAAAGAGGTACTGCATCATTAAATTTCTTACTGAAGAGAGAATGCTTTGTTCTTGCTGTAGCATTACTTGCACATTTATCTTCTATATTGTTCTCTCTTACATCGCTCTTCCCCTCTTGTTTTCTTCTCCCCTTAATGAGTCTTAGCTAAAGCTTAGGTTTTTTTTATTTTATTTATTTATTTTGTTTGTGTGTGTTTGTGTATTAGGCTAGTCTAGAAGTGAAAATTCTGCAACTGGAGGGTGAGAAGAATTCATGGGTCCAGAAAGAGGTGATTGTATTAAAATTTAATGTCACTTACTTTCTGTGGTTTAAACTTCTTGTCTTTAGATCGTGGTAGAAAATAAGGTAATGAGAAGATATGATAAATATACATGACATGGACACAGGTGAGCTTACAAGAAAAGAAAAAGCAGATGGAAAAAGAAAGAGATTCATGGATCCTGAAAGAGGTAAAAGTGCTTTCATCTTGATGGAGTGCCTTGTCTTTTTTGAGTCATGCTGCGAGAAAATAAAGGTTGACATACATCTTAACATAATGCATATGTGGCATCAGTATTTTTCACATCTCACCTTCTTTAGAATAATCAACCACTAGTTACATATTGTTTATGTCAAACTTTATATCAACTTTTTATGTACAACTAGCAATTTCCTTCCATTTATGCTACATTCTCAAAACACAAACAAGCAACAACAACAACATACCCAGTATATTCCCAAACGGGTTGGGGTTTGGGGGTCAGTTGTACGCAGACTTTACCCTTGTAATTATACAAGGAGGCTGTTTCCGTAGCTACCCAAGGTGCATTGTGTCGTTTGGTATATTTTTTTTTTCTAGAGACTTCACTAATAGAAGAAGCACTAGAACTTAATTGAGCCATTTTTATCTAGTCTATTATTAGCACTATGCCAGAAGAATTGTCAACAATGACTCTTCCAGCCATGAGCAAACAAGCATTTTTATAAATACTAGTTTTTAACCCGTGTATTTGCACGGAAAGCAATATATTTGAACAAAAAATAATAAAAAGATATAAACAATAGTAAAAATCATAATATAATCATTGAAAAAATGTTCTAAAAAAGAATAACTAAATATTGTTAAACAATTCTTTATATGCAACGTTTGTGGTTTTTTTATCAACAGAATCTCCATCACTACAAATCACTGTCTTCACACTAAGACATATGATGATTTTATTTTTTTTAAATAATTATTGTATTTTGTACTATAGATCATATATGATTTTTTTTTTTTTTAAAAAATCCTAAAGAAATACCAGGAAAATAGTACAAAATAAATAATTGTATTTGGTTGATAATAATGATATGTGCCAAATATTTAAGACATTTTAACAAAATGACAATTTTTGGGCAATGAAGAAATATATTGATTGAAGGATAAAAAAAAAGCGCAAATTAGAAGTCCACTTAATTTTTTAGGGTAACCAAAATCAAATATAAAACATGTCAATGATAACGTGACTATGAATAGAGATAAACTCCTTGAGTGATGTAAGCCAATTTTTTTGTTTGATGTCGGCGCTTCTTTCGTTATTCACTCTGTCTGAAACCCTAATCCTTAGCCCGATCTTACGACAAACTCGACGAGATTCAATACAAAACAAATACAAAACAAATGTTTTACCGGAGATTTTCTCCCAGTAAAGGCTTAAAACTAAAAAAAAAAACATCCGAGAAATGTTGTTTTGTGGCCAACAGTAGTGATCGAAAAATAAATATTCGTCCCGATTTCTTAATCTGTGTTGCTAAATCTTAACAGGTCGGTCAAATCGGGCGATAATATTACAAATCTATGAAGAGTTGAAATATTTTTTGTTAAACATAGTTTTTATTTTTTATTATTTTCAATGATCTGTCGTTTTTCGAAATTCTTTTTGAATAAGTTTCAAAGATGTATCATATTTTATACATAATTCAAAATTATTTAGATGTTTTTCGAAGAGTACATGACATTGGTCGAACATTTTCAAACTTTTATATATTTTGTTCAGGGTTTGGAAAATAGGTAAGTTTTTAACAGATATGTTCAACTCTACTAATAAATATATAGGTAAGTTTGTAACATATCTGTTCATATCTGTTTATAACATACATATGTAACTTTTATGTATTTTGTTCAGATTTTGAACACTAAATAGTTGAATTCTTTCTCGTCTTTCTCATATTATAAGTAAGTGAAGCTTTGCTAACACTTGTTCAAAATCGCTTTCTGAAGTTGTTCAAAGTCTTTTGCCGAAGTTTTTAAAAGTTATTAGTATCTTGTTCAAAATTTGGAAATATTAGGTAAGTTTATAACAAATCTGTTAGATATATTTATTGCATATTAGGAATTTCTTGTTTAATGTTTAAAAGACTCTGTAGGAATTTTTATTTTTAAAACTTTTACGCAAAAAATTAATTTTAGTATAAAGGCAGATGTCTTGGTAAAAGTTGAATGTGGATAATGATAGGGAAATCAAATTATTTTTCTTTCTATATAGTATATTGTCCAATAATGTTCCACATAATTTGTTGTGTTTTTAATTTTGATTTTTTTCATATAGATTTAACTTTTTTTATTATTAATTATGCTTGATATTTCTATATTATAAAACAATCTGCCATTACAGACAATGCCTTGTCAATCCTCATTCTTTGACTTGCCAATTTCCGTTTAATATGACTTTTCTGTTGCTGAAAGTATGGTTTTAATGCATTAAAATATTGATGTTTTGGATATGTTTTGATGCTATAATCATGCAGAAATTTGTCCCGCCACTTTTTTTCTTAAAGAGGAATTGTTTAATGAAAATTAATCATATTTATATTTATAATTGTGAAATAATATTTTTTTTTCACGGCCAACAGTTTTTTTAATGAAAAATATGAGACAATTTATTCAACACACTTTTTGATTTATAAAACAGAATGTTGATTGCGATAATCAAATCTGCAGAAATCATGCATTTTATTGAATAGTAGTAATATAAAATATTTTATTATTACTACCAAATGGAAAGTCAAATATAGTTAATTTTGCACTATTATGACCATATGAATTTTTTTATACATATGTTTTTTCAATGAACTTTTTAAATGATAATATTGACAATATAGACTTTGCTAAAATAATTATATAGACTGTTAATTTATTTATTTACTTCATTAATTTTTTTAATTCATCTTATTATGCGTATAGTCTAACTTTATAAATTATATGTCATTTAAATGTATCTATACTACTAATTTATAAGGTTTTACCATTTGGGGGAGCTAAATTTTTATTTTAATTATGAAACTAATCTTTCTTATAATGTTTGTATTTATTACATTTATTAATATTTTTTATTTCTTTAATTGCTTTTCAATTCATAATGGAATAAAAAAAAAATAATATATAATTTTTGCACAACAATAATGATTGCCACGTTTATATATATAATAAATGAGAATAAGAAACATAAACGTGGGATTAACTAAAAGAAACCGTTTTAATTTAGCCATTAACTAATTAGGTTTAACTAAAAGAAACCTTCTTAAATGTGGGATTAGTGAGTAATTAATTAAAAAAAATGTAACTCCTTTTGGAGGGAAAGTGAAAATGTTTTTATTAAATGTTTTATTAAATGAGATTAGCTAGTAATTATATATACTAGTTATCATGTTGTGCACATGCACAGATGTACATAAAATCTTATAAGTAATATGTGTGAATTTAATATTAAAATTCTAGATGATAAACATATCACATTTTCAAAATATGTGATTTAATATTAAAATTATAGATAATAAACATATCACATTTTCAAGTTATGTGAATTTAATATTAAAATTCTAGATAATGGACATACCACATTTTCAAGATTTAATCATTAGGAAAAATAAAATAATATTTATATAAATTATTTGAGTACATATGAATCACTATATTGATTAAAAAAATTATGGGTAATGTAATTTTTATAATTTGGAGGTATCATGGTTATATAATTTACTTGAAAACTTTATTATTATTATTATAATTATTATTATTACTATTCTTATTACAGCGACAATTGTTTATAAGATTTTAAAGTTTTTTTACTATATTATTAAAACTATTTACTAATTGTTTCTAAAGAAAATTGTATCATGAAATATAAAATTAAAATAATAATAATAATATCAGTCATAAAACCTAATTAAGTGTAATCATGTATTCATAAAACCTAATGAATAAAACCTCATTTATTTTCCCTCCAAAAGAAGTTACAAAATTTGTCATTCATATTTTGCCTTTCACATTAATACACTTTATTAAGTGTAATCATGTATTTTTTTTTTGCTATTATATTATATAATAGTTAATGCTATTACCAACTCATAATATTTCACACTAAATATAAATTACATAAGTATAAACAATATTATTGTTTCAAGATATTATTATTATTATTGTTATTATTATTATTATTATTATTATTATTATTATTATTATTATTATTATTATTATTATTATTATTATTATTATAGTAGTTAATGCTATTTTTTATTTTGCTATTATATTATATAATAGTTAATGCTATTAATTTTTTTACATGATTACACTTAATAGGGGTGTATTAATGTGAAAAACAAAATATAAATCACAAATTTTGTAACTTCTTTTGGAGGGAAAATAAATGAGGTTTTATTAATTAGGTTTTATTTATGAGGTTTTATTTAATGATTAGCTAGCAATTATATATATATATAGATATGGATCAGACATCCTGCCATGAGCATGTAGCTCAGGTGGTCGTTTGAAAGCGCATCCAATAGTCGCCAACCCGGTACGGGAAGGTCTAGTCGGTGCCTTCCTCATTAACACCCATACTGCGAGACCCTTCGTCGCAAAGAATGTATTTGTCTACAAACAGTTCACTTTCGAACATCGACAACCATTTGATTCATATTATCCCTTCTCCTCCACTCAAACCCCAAAATTGTCTATAAATGGGGATGGAATGTGGAGCAATAAGTAACTTGATAAGCTTACACGCCACGAATATCAATCTGATTAAACCTTAGGTGGGGAGAAAAACATTGAGTAATTCTAGTGTTGCTCCTATAAGATACATTTTTATTCGTTATAATGACGTATTGTAGCCAATTAATATTATTACTTCTTGCTAATTAAGCATGTAACCACTTTTTTTTTTATGATTTGAAACTTCAAACGCTGTTAATGTAGTTTATAACTGTTCCATTAGTAACTAGGTTTATTTTCATTCCAAACAGAATTAGAAATTTACTAATTTTTTGAATCATTTTGAACTTACTGACCATATTTGTATTGTATTACTAGTGAACTTGGCTGAAACTAGCTTCATTCATTTACAATTTGACATGGTGAATGGTAGATTATTTACTTGTTTTTCTTTTTTTTTCCAGAAATCTGCACATCCATGGGGATAGTTATATTTATTCTAATTTCTGTTGAATTGTGGCAGTTCTCAGCCGGGGAATCTGTTGCCAGCCTTACTGATGAAGTTATCAAATTACGAGCTCAGGTACCAGTTAGTAACATAAATTACTTTTTAATCGTCATCAAATACTTTCTTTTAACCCTGTAGGTTTTAATCGTCATCAAATACTTTCTTTTAACCCTGTAGGTTTCTTGTTTGGGTTTTCTCGCATCAAATGCAACCATTATCTAATAGCCATATTTACGCTTTTGTGTGACTTCATACTCAATAAAATCTTATTCTTAGCACGCCTGTAAAAAATAATAGTGTTATTCAATTGAAGCATCCCTATTTTTCTGATAGTGGAACTTAAAATCAGAACCTTTCAGGTGATAGAGCTGGAGAGTTCAAAGGAAGGCCTCCTAGACGATAAACTACAGTTGACAAAAACTGTGTCCGGTCTACAGTTGCAAATCAGTAATCTTGAGAATGCTGCTGCTAACAAAGTGGTAAAATGTTAATCTTCTGTTTCGAGATTTGATTGATGAGGAGTTATGTTTCTTTTTACTTTACCGTTTTCCCTCTCATGATCGTTAACTAGGTCGTTTTTTATTATTTCTGAATAGACTTCTGAAGATGGGGATGCGAACCGCCAGCTGGAAGCTGCATGTGCACTGGTTAAGAAATTGGTTATGGAAAATTCAGAGCTCGTTGAAAAGGTATCATCATGACAAATATGACTGGCTTATGATTGATTTTTGCAGTATCGTTATGTCTTAATGTCCCAGCTGAGTGTAACATCCTTTGATGATAAGTTTTTCTTTCTTTCTCTCTTTTATTTCCCCTTTCATGACTAATAATCATTGCATTTTTCAGATAAATGAGCTGTATGCTGAGCTTGACCGAAGGGGCATAGGAAGAGGCCAGATTTCTTCTGAAGCCACTCGAGGGGCTGTAACTGATCAATCTTCTGTTATCTCAGCTTCTGCACCCGAATTGACAATGTCGGTTAATGGTGGCCACAATGCTAATCAACCAACTGATATAATATCTAAAGCTAGCAAGACAATGCCCGCATCAGAGTTTTTTGAAGATGTCACTGTTGAGGATCAGAAGAACAGTGAGCCCATGAAGATCTATGATGGCCGTGGGCTTGAAAAAACATCAGAAATTGTAGAGGTCGATGAAATCGTGCATATCCCATTAGACGAGACTGAAACTAAAGAAAAGAATGTGGGGTTGCCTCAGGATGATGACGTTGGACTCGTTGATTCCCCTCTGATTGGTGCCCCATTTCGTTTAATATCCTTTGTTGCTAGATATGTTAGTGGAGCTGATTTAGTCGATAGTAACTGAAAAATCAAGGATATTTACGCCCACCTCAGGGTTATATAATTTTCTACAGTTTTCAACAGGAAAGAAAGATGAAAGAAAAAATGCCATTTTTTTTTTTCTCTAAATAGGTAGATACAATCATAACAGTGTGTTCAGAAAGAGCCTGCCTCAGTTTATATAGTTTCGTTTGTTTTACTGTTTCGAATGTGTTCTGTAACGATGTAGGCTATGTTAGCCACGATTCATTTGTGATACTCAAAACCGAATGAAAACAAAATTTTAATGTGATATTATGACTACTGCTCTTTGCGCAAAAAAATCAGACCGTTTTTCTACTTTCCGAAGCAAATTATTAACTGTTACATTCGATGAAGGTCTAAGTACTGCATTTGAAATTGAAAAATGTCTACAACGTCGGACTTGTGCTCCTCGACTTTCCGGATGGTACTCGGTCCTCGCAATCCAGCTGGCGGATTTCCTCAATCATTCTAACAATCTCATCCATTGCAGGCCGCCTCTCGGGTGCCTTTGTCACGCACGCCATTCCGATTTGAAGCAATTGAACCATTTCATCCTCAGCATTTTTATGATACCTGACGAGATTGGCATCAAAAACCTCAGCCGTCCATTCCTCTCTCACTACCGACTGAACCCATCCTGGAAGGTCCAAGGCCTCGTCTTGGCCTATTGCTTGAGTCGGTGCTTTTCCGGTGAGCAATTCCAAGAGGAGAACTCCAAAGGCGTAAACATCTGACTTTTGGTTCGACTTGACGGTTTCGACCTGCTCGGGTGCTCGGTAACCCATGCTTCTTGGTGGGATAGATGGGGTTGCTATCAGATGAGTGAGGCCGAAATCTGTGATCTTTGCACTCATGTCTTGTGTGATGAGTACGTTTGAGGACTTGATGTTGCCGTGAGTCGATTTAAACGAATGTATATGCGCCACTCCCTTAGCTGCGTCTAGCGAAATCTTGACCCTTTGTTCCCAATCAAGAATTCTTCCATTCTCATTATCCCCTGCACATCATCATCAATTATGAGAGTGAGAGATGGGAGAGAGAGAGAGAGAGAGATGGGAGAGAGAGAGGAGTGAGAGATGGGAGAGAGAGAGGAGTGAGAGATGGGAGAGAGAGAGAGAGAGAGAGAGAGATGGGAGAGAGAGAGAGTACCATGAAGTAGAGTTGATAAGCTAGCACCAATTACATCATCATAAACAAGGAGTTTCTCATCCTTGGAATAGTAATAAGCGATGAGGGGAACAATGTTCGGGTGATGGCTAAGCCTCTCGATGATCTTCATCTGCTATTCGAACTCCCTTTTTCCGGCGACCACCTCTCTCAGCCGCTTCACCACCACCTCCAATCCCTCTTCGAGAATAGCTGCGTACGTCGTGCCGTAGCTTCCTTTCCCAAGAATCTCAGCCGAGGCTCTCAACAAATCCTCGAGATTAAAATTATACGAGGTTCCTTCGAAGAACACCAATTTGTTTTTCTCCGAGTCTTGAATTCCACTCGAAAAGTCTTCCTTCGGCATCATCTCCTTCTCGAGGACTTTTCCTTTAACCAGTCCGCTTTTGGAACTTCTTTTTCGCCTGATGTAAAAACATGCCAACACTGCCAGAGCCACAGCAACTAGGAATGCCGCGCCACCTACAATAATTGCAATTATAGTTCTCGTGCTTATTGTGCTTCTTTCTTGAAATACCGGTGAAAATGGGCCTAGGCCAGGGCCCGGAGAAGTAGATGGTGGGAAGAAAGATTGAGAAGGAGAAGGAGAAACAGAAGGGCAGTCAACGAGAGGCCCCCCACACAAAAAAGAGTTTCCAGAGAAGGAATCTGCGCGAAATGTTCGAAGATGGGATGGAATTGATCCACTGAGGTTATTATTGCTAACGTTGAATCGCTTAAGGTTTGGAAAATCGAGATTTGGTATGGTCCCCGATAGAGAATTGTTTTGGAGGTAGAGAGCAGTGAGATTCTGGAACGCGTCTGGAATTTCCCCTGTTAACGAGTTGAACGAAAAATCAACGACATTGAGTTGTGATGAGAAGTTGGATAACGGTATATCACCCGAAAAGTTGTTCAGTTGGAGGTCAATATATCGGAGGGAAGTCAGAGAAAGGACGTCAGACGGAAGGTTCCCGTTGAGGTTATTGGATCGAAGGCTGAGGAGATTGAGACCATTCAGTCGGCCCAATGTGTTTTGAGGCATTGGGCCGCCGAGGCCATAGCGGAAGGCGAAGGGCCATCACGCGAGTGCCATCGGTTGTGCAAGTGATCCCTAACCAAGAGTTGCAAATAGAAGAGTTTTTTCTCCAGTTGAGTTTTCGAGCGTGTGGCACGGCTGAAGCAAATTCGAGAAGGGCTTTTTTGTCCGAGTTCAAGTCTGCAGTGACATTTGGTCTTGGCACAGCAAGAGGAAGGAGAAGAATAACAAGATAGATGAAAGCAGTTGCTTTTGTCATTTGCATTTATCGGCTTTTGCCTGCATTCATATTTTTGCGATAAAATATTAAAAATACATACACCTTCTGATATTATCTTCTAAAACAGCAAAAAAATGAAATAAAAGACGCATCGTTTTCGTAACAGGCCACACTATTTAATTGCGAATTCAAATAAGCTAGCTGCAACAGAGTATTATAAACACGCACATAGCAAAAAAGATGATGCATGCAGTTTACCTCGTCGAGTCAGTAGTGATGGATGACCGAGAAGAATGACGAATTAGAAAGAGGAGAGTGTACGTTATAAAGTATTGGTGGGAACTGAAAATAATTCCTCTCTAACTCAACGGCCATCTTCTCTTCTCTTCTCTTCTCATCCAACGGCTTAATTTGTTATCACTTTTGTACATTCTCCTCTTTTTCTCTTTAGTTTAGTAAAGCAAACGGAACACAAATCTCGATGCCTTCCAAAACAACCTCTTTTTTTTTTTGTTGGTCCTTTAATTATGTGTTCTGCGTAAGATACAAAGACTTACTTAAGCTACTTATTACTACAAGTGGTCAACGGTTTATGATAGTGGTTAAGAATATTGCCCGAGTAGACTTGGTTTGGGTAATAATATACATGCAATATTTTTGGGATATATCTTTGAAATTGAGTACTAGCTAGTTTGTTTGTTTACAAATAAAAACCAAGGCATATTCTGATGTCACAATAAGCACTAACTAACTAACAAAGGTTGACTCCCTTAATAATTTTGATAACTGAATTATTAATTAAATAAAGTAAGTAAGATGTCGATTTGCACGCAGAAATAATTTAAATTACACATGCAGCAGCAGAATTCACTATTTGAATAAATTTGTTTCTACTCATTCGTAATCATGAATTAATAAGTGAAAATATGCCGGCCATTTTTCCAATTCTTATTATTATAAAAAAGGGGTTAACCCGTTCCGTCGAACAATTATTGACAGTTGGGTTTGGTTTACAATTTCACAATTTTTTTTCCCAAGGCGAATCTGTTGGCCGACGGACCCAATTAGCTATATATGCTGCTTGTGGCTCCAAAAAATCCAAATAATAATAATAATAATAATTAATTGGGTTCACATCACATCACATGCTTGGTTGGTGCTGGAGCTCATTGATGCTTGGTCAAACATAAATAATTATTTGATTTTTGATCGATTTTATATGATCTCAACAATTTATTATGAAATACTACTAATTACATATTATTATCACAGAGAAAATTAAAATATATATATATATATATATCTTTCTTTTTCTTTATTCAAATAAAGCGCAGCGCACAACTTTGAATGAAGAAAACATACACTATTATAGTCATAGATGACTTACTACTGCGGGCCGTCCTGCAGTGTTGTTCTATCTTGTTGCTTTTACTTTTACATGATACCCAATCTCTCTCTCTCCCTCTTTCTTTTCTTCAATTCTGAATCCATAACACACAAATAAATATTTGCATACCGATTTATTTCTTTCTTCCATTTCCAAGAATCTCTTATTTACACAAATTGGTATCTCAAAATGGTATCCTCCAACCAAACCAATCGGAAGACAATTTGTTACTCCTTATATTTATCCCGCGAATACAACTTCTGATTCATCCTCTTCTACTTCCTTCTTCAACTTTTCTTTAGGCAGTCTCAAAGCCAAGAAGAATCCCAACTAATCGAGAAAATAGCATATATAACATGTTTCGCCCGGAAAACTCAAGTCTACCACTAAAAAAATAAAAACGACAACGCTGCTCATTTCCAAACTTAGTTGCTAACCAAATCTAGCTTTATGATACAACCAGCATTACAGTATATAACCATTTTAAGCCTTGGAGGATTATTAACTAACGGTTGTGGAGCACAACAAACTACATGACATGACTCTTTCTCAAAGTAATGAAATGCTCAGCCAATATACCACATTCCTGTCCCAACAACATAAAGAAATAAATTTTTAATAAGAAACCAGGAAACTGTTTTGATGAAAATTGATGTCCAAGATCTTCACGATCAGGTTACAAGGGACCAAATGGTTCAGGAAGAAGTTCAAATCCATGATCAAAGATGGATCCTTGGTCCGATTTATCATCAAGGCTGTGAAGCCAATTTGCATTCTTCATATCCTCTTTCAGAAGTATCATGTCATAGCGGGAACTTTCATAAATATCACTGTTGCTCAATTTTGCCGAATACTGAGACTTTTCTTCCTCACCCCCATTTTCAGAAAATCGGTATGTGTTCTCTGCAATGGCACCATTACCATTGTTGGATAGACTCCCATTGCTAGACACTGCTGCACCTGGTTGAGTTTTCTGGTTGGTGGATCGAATGCTTTGAGGAAACAGATTCGAGCCAGTAAGAGGACGAACCCCATTGCTTCCATTTCTTATATCCTGCAGCAGAATTCAAGATCTTTGAGAAATATGAAATGCTGATTATTCCTGTTTCTATATGCTTAATAACCTTATCTCAGTTGGCCAAAAAACTGGAAAACAGGACGAAGCTTGCGTACTACTAATAAATTCAAACTAGTAATAGAAATGATGTACATGAACACACAAGTTGGAAAAAAAAGCATCGGTGATTTGTCCATGTTATCAATTTTAATCTGTATTCTCATGGACAAGAATAGAAAAAGTGTAAAGGAACACTCAGGATTGGCACATACTGATTTTACCAAGAAGAAGACACACTTCCTTAGCACATTAACAAAAGGAAAATAAGTAAAACAACTCTTCAGAGTTAAAAGGGAATTACCATATGTCGAATCGCCATGTCAAGAGATTTCTTGGAAATTGTACGGCCAAACCCAGTGCTGTTGTCAGCAGATGTCTTTAAAGGTTTACGTGTCGAAAGCTCTCTCCGAGAATCCACTGCATCAGCCAGATGTCCATTGCCAGTTATCCGGCCCTTCCCAATGGGTTCTGCAAGTCTTCCCCTGCTGACAATTGGTGACGATTGTCTCCTAACTGCAGCATTATTCGGTGGAGGCTCACCATTCCCTTTTGCAGAAAGGGTCACACCAGGTCTAGACCTACCAGCAGATATCGGCCTATCAGGCAATGTCGTACGAAGGTTTGGTGGTGTGTCAAGTGGAAAATCAGGGAGCATGATCGGCTGAGGTGGCGTCCGAATTCGCGGTCCAGGTGAGCTCGGCCGAGAAATCGAGCCAACACTACTACGCCCATTGGTGAGACTACTGCGGGGTCCACCTGGAGTTGAAGGACCCGATGCGGGAGATAAAGATGGAGCAGAATTCCGACGAGTGGGTGTTGACGGCCTAGATGTACTCCGGGGAGCTGTAGAAGTCGAGTTTGCTGAAATTTGAGGCCCTGATGTAGGAGTAGACGGTCTCGAGCTTTGGGATGGTCTCGGTTTATCAACTGAAGATGTGCTGAGAGACGGGCGGAGTTTAGCAGGAGTTGTAGAGCGTGACGAGGTCGGGCGGGTAGAAGGGGTTAAAGGCCTGGCTATTGATGAGGAGCGGTAGGTAGGAGTTGATGGTCTGATGTAAGACGAAACAGATGCAGAGCTTGTATTGAGGATCGAGGTTGATCTGTTATTAGAATATGTGCTATATTGCGAGCTAGAAACAGAAGGTCTTGTCACCGAACTGCTTCGAGTTGGTCTTGCAGTATGGTTGTTCTCTGAATGAGATACCGACAACTGAAAAATTGGAAAAAAAAAAAAGAAAAAGAAGAAATTTAGTAATTAAAACTATTTGCATGAATAGACAAACACAGATCAGGAGCATAAGAGAAAATTGTAAAACAACTGGAAAAGCATACAATTGAGAGTATAAAACTAACAGGGAACACAAGAGTAAAAAGCACTGAATTGGAGGCTTAAATGATAAAGGAAGGCATGTTGTCTTACCCGTGAGGCTTTGGTGGTTGATACTGATCTAACCAATGGACCATTTCTTCGAGCCGTAAGACCTGTTGAAGATTCATTTCCATCCGAAGAAGAGACCAATGGCGTTCCGGGAGGAGTAAGAAGCCTGTATCAAATAAACCAAGTATCCAGACTTGAACTCTCATAATATCATATTCAATTAGCATGATTTTCATCTCACTGCCATAGATCACATCAGTTCCTTGTTAGATTTTATGCCTATAGTTTTGCAAGATCATAGCGCATGCATCGGGGATCTGAGGTCTATATTTTCACTGAGTTATGCTATTGACAAGCCATGACCCCACCCAAGGTACCACATGATGAAATTTTACTCAAACTTTAACTAGGGGACCACCATAATGAATCTACAGATAATTCTAACTTAAACATTGTATAGTGAATAAATCTATCATCTAGAAAAGGTATATTTTCTGAGTTATTGGCGACCGTGGACATATCCCTCAAAGGTAGCTGCTGAGTGTAGTATCTAATCTACTGAGGTCAGTATCTATGAACAGAAGAGTAAAAATAGCCATATGGATTTAAATGAAATTTTATTTCCTCTTCTATAATTGCTTCGTGGCTGTCAATTTTAAAGGGAGATATCCAGTCAGCATAAGCTAGATCTGATAAATAAAGACAAGAAGATTCAAGGAAAAAGATGCAAACTTTACCAATCATAATCGTGCTTTCCTCCTTCAGCTGATGAAAATAAATCCTCCAATCCACTCTTTCCCTGTTTTGCTGATCCAAGTGACAGTCTCCCCAATCTCACAGGAACTAAATTAAAAAAATAAAAATAAAAAAAAAAATTAATTAAAAGTGTATCAGACCTCAGAAGCATAAAAATAATCCAGTTTTGTCGCCGCAGATGGTAGGTAGATTCAGAAGCAGAAATGTCAGGGAAAAAGAAACCGCACAAAACGACGCCGTTACGTTAATTACTGACGGACTCCATATTGTTTTCATAATGACAAGCAATAGCGCCAAGAAAAAGGGGGAAAAGGAGTAAAAGATTTGTTTTTTATTTTTATTTTTTTCCATCACTTTCATCAAATCATCACCTCCGATTCGATAGTAAAAGATGAAGAAGAAGAGAAATAAAGGGAAAAAAAGAAATAGCAGGAAAAAGAAGTTTGTGAGAGCATGATAAGTACCATCGGACTCATCGGAGGAGGCGACGGAGAGGCTGCGGCGGCTCTTGGAGAAGAGATCCAAATGATCGTCGGCAGAATCCTTGGCACTAGGAGCTCCGTTGAGGCTGGGTCCGCGGCGGTGGTTGAGCAGAGAATTGCTGCGGCCGGCGCCGATGACAGATTCCCTCATGGTGCGGCTCATGGTGAGAGAAGCT